GCTGCCAGGCCGATCTCTGCAAAACTTGGCAAGGAGTCTTGGAGAGTCCCGAACCAATGAAATGAACTAATTGCCTCCTGCAAACTCCACTCCCCTTTTGCTCCTCTTTTATTTCCTCTGGGAGGGGCCATTCATCGTCCACCTGTGGCCTTCAACCCAAGTTGACCCCTGTTCTTTAGCTCTTCCCTTCGTCTGGCCACTCTGTGCATGTGCACACTGGGAACAGGCTCCCGCTGTTTGCCTGCCTCACTGATGTTTGACTCCGAAGGCAGCTGATAACTGTCAGACGGCTCTGGCCCTCTCTCTGCCTCTGACACAGAGCCCCATCAGACTCCAGGACTGGCCCATGTTCCTCCCCAACCTCCTCACAGTCCAACTCTGCTGCCAGCTCCACTGTCCACCGACGGGCCATAACACTTGTGCAGCCAAAAGCAGGACCTTCCAGTGATGTGAACAGAATTTAGAAATATACTAAACCATGCTTAATAAGGGGGCCTTGATGCTCCCCAAGCTTGGTTGTTTTCTTGCAGATGGTTCATTGCCCAAACTATGTACCATCATCACTGCTAGTGATTATTTATTTATTATGTCCAATAAACAGGCAGCTCTTTCCTTCCAACCATGGAGATTTAACGAGGGGAGTCAAAACCCCTTGAAGGACTTTCCCCCACTGATGACTTAAAGAGCTCTCCATCCATCCTTGAGTGGGCCGAAACCCAAATCGAGGTGACGTTGGCCGGTCTTGATGCCAATTTCTCATTTTGCTCCGTTCTCTCTTTTGCCCGTAACTTTAGTTCCTTGACTTCCCAAAGGAAAAACGGGGTAAAGCCTAACTGATTTCTCATGTATCCGTGAGATTCCCCTTGCATTCTGCTGGCATAAAGGAGAAAATCATTCCTTAACCCTGGAACAGCTCGAGAAAAGAACATGAGTATTTTTGTTTCCACGTGGAAACCGCTTCTGAACTTCATGCTTGAGGTGGAGAAGAATGAAACTCTGTCGATTAGGCTGCTAGTTCTTAATAGAAATGGATTGTTCATATTATTCTGAAAAAGCAAAAAGCTGTGATTTGAGGTTAAGGCTTATTTGACTGCAACAGAGAGTCAAAAGTCAGTGCTGCTTCTTATTTTTCTTTCTTTTTTTTAATCTTTCCTCACTCCTCTTTCCTTTCCTCCCCTCCTGCTTTTCTATTTATTTTGTATTTTATAACTCAATAAAAATGTTAATGATAAAAATAAAATAAAGCCTAGAACAGGTCAAGATGCCTTAAGCTTCTCTGACTTTATGGAGACCCAGAAGAAGATAAGATACAGCCAAGGGGTATTTTTTGCATTGTTGAGTGCAAATGGAGTCCAAGAAGAACGCTTTCATCTTTGCAAGCAAACAAGATCTTTTAAACTTGAGCTGTGATGCAAACTCACAAGCTCTTGAAAATAAAACTTCTCCTGGCAAAGATGTCTAAAGTCTGTGAACATTCTCTCTGGCTGAGCAGTTGTACATTGTTAAAAGAAAGAAAGAAAGAAGGAAGGAAGGAAGGAAGGAAGGAAGGAAGGAAGGAAGGAAGGAAGGAAGGAAGGAAACCTCCAAAATATATATTTTCCTGAATAGGAAGGAAGGAAGGAAGGAAGGAAGGAAGGAAGGAAGGAAGGAAGGAAGGAAGGAAGGAAGGAAGGAAGGAAGGA